AATGTGATGGTGGATGGATGAAAATGATGGCCCCATGGATCATTTTTGTCATTATTCTACTTGTATCGGTTTTCTATACTCGTTACAAAAGCTGAATAGTCATTTTATCTTCAAACAGCGTCCAAGGTTGCCTTAAATAATTTTTCAATTGAGTTTCTTAGTGAGCTGACTGCTTTTCTTTGGTTTTCATTTGGCATCAAAAAGAAAATATTGTAATTTATTACTAAAATATAATTGGTATAATTCACCATCGATAAAGCAAAACACTACAAGTATTAATAACATAACTTTCAATATTCCATTTATATATATCTTTATATATAAAAAGTACGTGTCACATTGTTTGTCCGCGATGAACTCCTAAACTACTGAACTGATTTTAATGAACTTTTGCAGACTGTGTTCAGTTTGGGTCATAAACTAAACACTTAACTTAAAAAAAATACTTATTTTGTATGATGCATTATTACCAAAACTGTGTAACGTAAACCCTTTGAAAACTTTAAGCTCTATACAAATCAATATAGGTACATTTTATTTATTTTTTGTTATTTTGTCGCCGAAGTTAGACCGAAATGTCGATCCCATGCACTGCACAAAGTGTACTTACGAGAAAATAGTACAATTTAGGAAGTGTGACTGTGATTTTTTTCATTGGCCATCTCTCCCTTACGGCCATATCTCCCGGAATTACCCTACTCATATCGTGGGATCGCATAAAAAATAACCAGTCCGCCATCTTGAGCGGTTTGCCATATTGAATTTAGAATGACGTCATTTATCTTAACCATGCGTTGTTTTAATCAAACTAAACATTTTTACAAAATTTTAGCTTCATTTGTATTTGTCCTTGCGCGTACAAACGTGCAATATAACCTTGTCCTACGTAGATGGCTAGTCTCCGTTGATACTGTCCGTGATCGAAATTGGTTTGGAAGACACTCAACCATCATCATTACAGGTACCCTTCACAAGTACATTTCTGAACATAGGCCTCCCCCAAAGAATGCCACAAAGCACCGTCCTGAGCCACCTACATCCATCGACTTCCTGCATGTCTTACCAACATAATTAACTAATTAATTTAATTAATATTAACAGTGGTAGAGCCACGCGGCAGCTTTTGCTATCGCACGGATTGGCGGGCTCGAACCGGGGTGGTACCACGACCTCACAGAATACCAGCGTGAAGTAGAGGTGTACCTCTGCGTTCCGCTTGGTGAGTGCAAGTGGCCGGAGGCCCAATCCTCCTCAATCAATATGGTAGCGGAATTGAACAGAAGACTACCCCAGGAGGGTACCAAAACCCCTGGAGAATCCCTCGCTGAGCATCCACGACCAAACTACTCCACTCCTGAGCGTGGGTGCTCAGGCTGCCCCGCGTATGGTAAGGTACGGACCTGTCCATCCTATGGCTGAGTGTAGACAGCGACGACCATCCCCGCGTATACGGGTGCCTCTATAGGTCCCTTAGCGGTAATGCCGACACAGACCGACTCATCGACCACGTCCAAATGGCTGCAGACTCCGTGTTACAACAGGTCCCATCCGCAGAGATCGTGATACTCGGTGATTTTAACGCCCACCACGCTGAATGGCTTGGTTCTCGTTTAACCGATCATGCGGGTAGATCTGTCTATGACTTTGCTTTGGCATATGGTCTAACACAACTGGTTACTTCGCCTACGCGGATCCCAGATGTGGAAGACCATGTACCTTCCCTGTTGGACCTTCTGCTGACCTCTCATCCGAACGGATATCAGGTCTCCGTCGATGCCCCTCTGGGCTCTTCGGACCATTGTCTGATCCGGAGTACGGTGCCACTCACGCTCCAATCGTAGTTGCGATCTGCACCTTGCCGCCGTGTTTACGTGTGTCTATAGGTCAGCTGATTGGGATGGGATGCGGTCTTTTTTTGCATCCTACCCTTGGGGGCGGGTTTGCTTCTCGCCGAAAGATCCCAGCGTTGTTGCCGATTCTGTTGCTGATGTACTTCAGGGTATGGAACTTTATTCCATCCTCTGTGGTGCCTATCGGAGACAGATCCCAGGCATGGTTTTGTGGCTCCTGTAAAATAGCATCACGCTATAAGCAGGAGTGCTACCGGGCCTGGGCTGACGCATCAACGTCTCGGGATGTAAACACCAGCGCACTTAAAAAGAAGTATAATTCTGTCTCCAGGTCCTTCAAAAGCGTCATTGCCAAGGCAAAGTCAGAGCACATCGGCAAAATTGGTGAGAAACTAGTTCGTCTCCCTTCGGGAACGTGCATTCTGATCTCTTGCCAAGACTGTCCAAGGGAACTTCTGTCAGCCATCTCTGCCATCTCTGCACAGGGTGGATGTTAGTTTGGACATAGCGAAGGCTTTCGATCGGGGTTGGCACAAAGCGCTTCTTTCGAAGCTGCTTTCCTATGGGCTTCCCGAGAAATTGTGCAATTGGATCACCAGTTTTCTTGCAGATCGGAGCATCAAGGTCGTAGTAGACGGTGCATGCTCCGATTACAAGCCCATTAACGCTTGTGTTCCACAAGGCTGCGTGCTATCACCAACGCTGTTTCTTCTGCATATCAATGATATGTTGCAAACCAGTAACATTCATTGCTATGCCGACGACAGCACTGGTGATTCTTTATACACCGGCCGTGCCAATATTTCTCGGAAAAACGTCGCCGAGTACCGGAACAAACTTGTGTCTTAAGTCGAGACTTTGTTGAACAAAGTCTCAGACTGGGGGCGACTATCTAGTCCAGTTCAATCCCCAGAAGAAACATGTTTGCGCGTTTACCGCTAAAAAAACCCCTTTGTCGTAACTCCTCAGTTTCAAGGTACTCCCCTTGTTGCCTCAGCCAGTATCGGAATCCTCGGCGTCGACATATCGAGTGACGTGCAGTTTCGTGGTCACTTGGAAGAGAGAGCTAAATTGGCCTCTAAAAAGCTTGGCGTGCTCAGCAGAGCGGGACAGTATTTCATGACGGCACACCGCCTGCAACTTTACAAGGCGCAGGTTCGGCCTCACATGGAATACTGTTCCCATCTCTGGGCAGGGGCTCCCCAGTGCCAGCTCCTTCCACTTGACCGCATCCAGCGCAGAGCGGTTCGAATCGTCGACAACCGAGTTCTTTACGATCGGCTTGACTCACTGGCACTGTGTAGAGATGTTGCATCTTTTTGCGTATTTTATCGCATCTATCACAGGGAGTGCTCTGAGGAATTGTTGAGACTAATTCCAGCCGCTCAATTTCACCATCGCACATCGCGACAAAACTCGCGATACCATTCATATCATCTGGATGATTGGCGGTACACCACTGTGCGTTTTAGAAGAAGTTTTCTCCCTCGCACAACTTCCTTGTGGAATCGATTACCACCAGCGATTCCGGACCGATACGACTTAGGGACCTTCAAGAAAAGAGCCTACTCCTTTTTAGAAGGCCGGCAACGCATCTGCGATTCCCCTGGTGTTGCAGTTGTTCATGCGCGGCGGTACTCACTTAGCATCAGGTGAGCCGCATGCTCGTTTGCCCCCTCTCCTATAAAAAAAAATGTCTTACCAGGTCGTCACTTCATCTAGTCGCGAGCCGCTCCCACACTTCGTCTATCGGTACGAGGCTGCCACTCGAGAAACTTGCTTTCCCGTCGATTGTCGGTTTTCCGTGCTATATGGCCGGCCCAATGCCACTTCGGCTTCTTAATCCGTTGGGCTATGTCGGTTACTCTGGTTCTACTGCCGATATCCTCATTTCTAAGTTTATCACACAGAGAATATAGCTCTCCATAGCTCGCTTAGCGACCACGAACTTCCTTATACGGCCATCAGTGAAGTACTACGTCTCAGATCTATAAGTCATCATTGGCAATACGCTCTGGTTGTGCAGTCTCGTTTTCAAGTTTTGAGGTATCCCTGACGAAAAGATGTGTCGTAATCTCCCGAACGTTGCCTTGAGTTGAATCCGTCGATTGACCTCTCTGTCGAAGTTGGACTTACCTAGTCGGACTATTTGTCCCAGTTTAATATATTCATCAATATATAGGAGTGGTGGAATGAAAAATATTTGGATTTTATAGTAGATTATAGAAGTTATATTCCAGTAACATTTTGTTCAACTCTTGGTAGTTTAGCTGTATGGAGTAGTACTAAAAAAAGGTGCTGCTAAAGTTGCTTAATCGGCCTTATTCCTAGGGTGTCCCAATCGATCAAGTAGGCCGAAATATATATCCAAAATATAATCGATATTGCATCGGCCTTAAATATGTCCATTTGTAGCATACCACAAGACGACGCACGCCACAATATATAGCATGCCGCAATGTATCATGTTGTTGCATCAGCGTAAACCAAGCTTATCTAAAAGCAAAGTATATTGTATAAAAAAATAAATTTATCTTTAGAGCAAAAGTCCGATGTCTACGAGGAGTAAGATTGTGGCAAGCGTGTTTTGTTGCATGATACAATAGCTAACATTTTGCGAAGCATGAGGGGAAGTTTTATTTATACCAACGCAGCAGAAATAAACGTATAGAAAAACGTACAGAATTGATAGCATTCGATTCGAGTGCAAAATGCGGCATGACACGTTGTTGCTTCGTTGCTATCTTGATACAATTTTCGTATGCGGCATACTGCATCGTATAGTCTGTTCGCTTAGGTACGGCCGCGCCGCCTTGACATGTGCCGCATCTTGGCAAAGGCGCCGCCGCGACATCAAAGGTACACCCGTAGGAGAATTTGGCAATTGGCATTTTAAAACGAAGTGCCGTAGTGTTATTTATATTCGTATTTTATTACAATAACCATAAGAATAAAATAGTATTCTATTTTATTATTAGAATAGAAAAACATTTATTTAACAAACACAATAATAATAAAATAAAAGCAAAATAATAAGTGCGCCTCCAGGTGTACCGACACTATCTTAGTGAGTAGACAAGATGACAATCGGGTATTCTCATTTATTGCAAAACTGCGTTTGTAAAAATTCCTTTTATAAAACTTCAACAGTTGAGTACACACGTGGCGAGTCGCCGCATGTTCTGGAGACGGCCAAGTACACACAGACGGCAAACACCCCGCATATTGCGCTGTCGCCGAACGCTGAAGTGCTGGCCGTGTCCGTTGACAGCTCCGTAGAGTTTTACGACACCTACACCGGTCAGCTCTACGACACCGTCGAGAACATATACTCGGGTAAGAACTGTCATTTTAATTTTCTAACAATTTTTATTTTTTTTTTCTGAGGTATATCGAACAAGACGTTTTATCTAAATTTTTCGAATGCGGCCCATATAAATTCGGACTTGTTGGAACCATGACAACGAAATTTGACTTGCCTCATCCATTACAGCTTATAAAAGTCCGCTGCTAAACATAAGTCTCCCCATTAGATTGCCTTGTGGCATCCACGCGTGGCAGGCGGTTCCCCAACCGCTGTCTTTTATGAGTTGTGAAGGTATCAGGAAGATGCTGCTGCCCATCTCCCGTTTTAGTTTCCCTCTGTCGCCTCTTACGGCACACACGAGGCGAAATGACGACTTACGACTTGTGGACTTGCCTATTCGGACATTTTGTCTCTAGTACCTACACATACTTTGTAGCCCATCACTAGTCCACTGCTGAACGTAGGAGTAAGGAATGCTACACAGCACGGTCCGGAGCTACCTGCATTCTTCGACTTCCTGAATCTCTAGCCAGGTCTTCACCCCATCCAGTGGGGAGCCGCACTACACTTGCCCATTGCTACTTCGGTTTACTGATCACAATAGTACAAAATTAAAGAATCTCGTTTTGTCGTTCAGTTTTGAATTATTTGTTCCTAATGTTTCATTGTGAGCGGTCATCGAGCTTGTCAGGCTCGAGACGTCTGAAACTTTGAATTATTGAACGCGTGCGTCCAAGGAAGCTATCGATCGTTTGCATTTTCAATGGGCGCACGTAAGCGATAGGTGATGGTGTTGCTCAAATGCGCTTTGTTACAGGTTTAATAAACTACATGTTTTTCGACGCGAGTGGGAAGTATTTATTCGTTTGCGGTGACCGTGCAGTTAGAATACTCCATAATGTATGCGGATATCATACCACTATAGCAAGCTGTACGCGACTTCTGGGCTCCAAACAAACTTCGGCCACTGTGGAACGTCTTAATAAAACTATACAAAGTTGTAAAGAGACGCTGGCGAGCTTCGGAAAGTCAGTTTAATAATAAATTCAAACTATGAAAGTCAATTGTATTTATTTTTTTAATATTGGTTATATCAGTAATTAAATCCAAAAATCTAGTACTATCTTGATTATATCTATTTTAAAATACTTCATAATGATTTAGTTTATATGTTATTAATGCAAGTTATTTTTGAATTAATGAATGAAATCCATCTATTAGTTACATACATAATTGTAATTAAAATCTTTAAATGCATAACTTGATAGTCAGGTCGGTTACATTTTGTTAAGTGATCTTAAGAGGATATCCGGGTGGTGTTTAGTCCATACAAAAGTATTCATCGGTTTTTTTCCTTGTTTAATGGCCCTATCGCAATATGTTTTACGATACAATATATTATTGTTAAAAATTATTATAAATCTACAATTTTTTTTATATTATTTTAAAAACGAGGAATCTAAAATAATTAAAGTTGCTTGGTTATAACCGCCACTTTCATATACCCAGGAAACAAATTTAACAAGCATAAAAAGTAAAACTACATTCAGGTATAACCATAATCCTTCTTAAATATCTTTTTAGAAAATTAATAGAATCAGGCGTTATATTGCGGAAATTAATTATATTTAACCCTTAAATGCATGACATACCCAATATCATTGGAAAAAATATATGTTGTGTAAAATGGTTTATAGATGCTGGAAAAAATAAAATAAAAAATCATTATTCAATATAATTAGTTTTATTTTGAAAAATATTCTGGTATCATTTTTGATACAACATGCAAAAAACTACAATTTTATTCTCAGTTCTATTGTGTACTACTTCCGTTAATTGACTTATTGTTAATTATTGCAAAGCACTAATGTGCAACCAAATGATCACAAAAATATGTCCTATAGATGAAAATCATTAAAACAGTCAGTTGTTTTTTTGTTAGAACACAAATACACCTTACATTTTAGACACATAATACTACTCAGCAGTTTGCAGCCTGGGTTCATGCACCTCATACGATTTTGTTGCCTCGATTGAATATGATCCACTCCATCGTACCGAACATCTCTCGAGGGCATTACCTGCTGGATGTTTTTCCTTTTAGGTGCTGGCTCCTCCGAAAAGTTTCGGCTTGGTCGACCTCGTGAAGGTACAACATGTTCGCCATATTTGCAGAGAGCATCCGCCAATTCAGCTCTAAACTCTGCCAGATTCAAAACCTGCTTAGGGTTCAAATTCTTTTTAGCAGAGACTTTCTTATATAATATCCAGGAGTTAATTACTGATAGGTCGAGTAAGTGGTAAAAAATTCGCATGTACCATTTCCGAGACTTTACTTTTATGTGATACCTGCCTAGGAAAGAGTCCATGAGGTCTACTCCACCCATGTGTGCGTTGTATTCCTTTATTATTTTTGGACATGGTATGGGCACCTTTTTCTTTTGGTTTTTGTCATATCTTTCAATCGTTTCTACAGGTTCAGCGCCAATATAAGTGGAAAGTAAGGTCACCTGCTTGTTATCTTTCCAACTGATCGCAGAAAAATCCACACCATCGAGACTTGTCGTGTTTTCAACGTAGGATCCTCGGGGTACATTACTGTTCATTACTTCTTTCTTTTTAGGCAACTTACAAGACTTTCCTAGACGGTTTAGCTGCACCGTACCTAAGCACCATATGCCTTCCTTCGCCATGTAATACATTAGTGGTAATGAAGTGTAATAGTTATCGAAGTATATTACATGGTTCATCATTCTTGGGACTCTTCTAGTTAACTTTATTACTGTATTACCGGTCACTCCAATATCAGGTTCATTACTACGCATTGGTTCTTTGTCTGTTCCACTATATATTATGAAATCATAGCAATATCCTGCCAAGGAACACAACGCAAAAAGCTTGAACCCCCACTTGTGGGGTTTATTGGGTAAATATTGTTTCAAGAAATGGCTGATTTTTGTTGCGCACATTTGTTCGTCAACTGAAAGGCGTTGTTCCATTGGAACACTAGAAAATTTCATTGTCAGATGATCTATAATGGGTCTTAGTTTGTGAAGTTTATCATGGTCGGGGCTACCAACTGGTTTGTGTAAATTATTATCATTGAAATGTAATATGCTTCTTACTTTTTCAAATTTGTTGACAGGCATTGCTTCTATTATTGGTCTAAATCCAAATTTACTGCTCCAATACGATCTAACGCTTGGGTAGCGATAGACAGACATGAATATCAATATTCCCAAATATTTTCGAAGTTCTGTAAGGCTTATTTGAACGGGGCGATCAATATTGGTCTGCGTCGAATATTTATTGGTTTCTTCAACAATTTTTTTCAACAAGTCTTCTGAAAAGTACTGTGAAAAGAACTGCAGTGGGGTTTCTAGTTTCATTAGTTCAGGTCCTAATTCTGTACTACCCAAGAAAGCAATTGATTCCTCTTTATACTCCAAAGAGCGTTTTTTCCAAATCAAATTTCGTGTATTTATTTGCGGAAATACATTAGACCGAGAAGTCGAAGCTTGTTGATAGATTTCTTCATGAACCAGGGGAGGATCCGGGCATTCTTCAGTTTCAGGCACTTCCTCTTCATCACTTACTTCTTTATCTTCGAGTACGGCTTGTAGATCTTTGCGAGACGGATAGAAATCCAAGTCATCCTCATCTGATTCGGCATCGTCTTCTGAAATTTCGCCAGCCTCTAACCGCATTAGCATATTTTCTATATCATCGTCTTTCAATTTCTTTCTTGTAGTTCTGCAACAAATTTGTAAAGTTCAAAGAAGCGTAAATAAAAACAAAAACGCGAAAATCATCAACATGCATAGAAATATTTTTTATGCCTAAGTGCATGGTGTCTCATTTTCGATACAAACTAAAAACTCTTTTGTTTATGAGAGAAATCAATTTTTCGTAAAAAATACATAAACCTACTATAAACACAAACACTTACCTTGACATTGTATATTTTTTTTTGATATAATTTGTCTCAAATCCACTCCGATTCGTCTGGATAAAGTTAGAATTTTTCACAAAAACATTCACTCGCTGACAAGAATACTTTTGACAGCTACGAAACAAATATGGTGGACCAATACGAGAAACTTTGTTTTTTTTTCCGATAGACAAATAGTCTAAGGGCATCGTAACATACAGCCTAATAAAAACAAACAATTGGCTTTAAGTTTTAGTTAAAAAATCTCAACGTATCGTTTTTGATACATTATGCATTTAAGGGTTAAAATATGTATGAGGAAGCAGGGAAATATGGGTGTTGATGATTTCGTAAATTTTTGGGAGATGCAGATCACTCGCGATTATCGAGCTCAATCGTTCGACAACGTTAAAGAAATATATCGTTAAAAACTATTTTTGAAATTACTTCCTGCCCAGATATCCTCTTTATGATATAGTTTTTGATTTTAACCTATACTTTGTCATTAAAATGTCATTTAACATCCTTATTCAAATATTGCAACGAGTAGGTATTGGAATTCAGTAATTTATGTTGTTTAAATGATATTAATCTGTAAGTCTAACTGGCTGGCTGCTCTTGAGTATAATTGTCCAAAACGAAATCTATGCCATTTTTAAATATTTTTCTGTATTAAACTGTTAATGTAAGTGTTATCTTCATGATAAAAGTAACTAAATTGGCAATAGATACCACATTGCATCCGATTCATGGTTCCTATTTATTTTGTCTTTATACTGTCGTATCTGAAATCATAAATACAGATTTTAATTTATTTTACAAAATGTATGTAATAATATAGGTAAAACGGTTTTCTTGTAAAGACTGCAAGGACATGACCAGTGTTTATACTTTATGCAAAAATATGTTGATTTATGTTCTATTAAATGCTTGTACATAAATAAATCTATTATCGATTTATATGTTTATAAGAACGTGTTTTATTTTAAATGAAACCTTTAAATGATGTCTTCCAAGGTGTCGACGATATGAATCCTCTTCGTTATTTGTAATTAGTAACGTTTTGCAATAGATAATAGGTACCCAAACCTTTGCTTCCGCTAAAAATCTGTTTAAATTTACACACATCTACATAATCTGCTCAAATTACAGCACATGCCACCAGGGCGGTGCCACTTTTGAATGAGGTGAAATATTTGACATATTTCATAGCGGGTAATTTAATTTGTTAGGAAAAAGTATGGATTTAAGTTTCTTTCGTAATATTAGTTATACTTTATATTAATTAAATTAGAAATGAATAAATCAAACTGCCGACATTTCTAAAAGAAAACATTTAAAAGGGAGTTAAAATTGTGCAAAAAAATTAAAAAGAAAACCAGAGGCATTATTTTGTCTATTTATATAATACTCTAGAAACAGATAAATTTTATTTAAAACTAACTTCTCAATTAAATGACAAAAAAACTTCCTCAGTCCCAACTAGCGACATCTAGTGAGAGGAAGATTATTAGCCCTTGTGGCGGCGCTATCAAAGTTCCGAAGTAAAAGCAGTATATATAGAACCACTCGGAGCGTTGGCCGCTCACCGGGCTTAAAACCTTACCCGGCGGGAGATCGCCCCTTTTCCTTTCACGTCCACAGTGGTGACCCCGACGTGATCATTTGCAAGTGCGTAGTACGGCATGAATTACACATCGGTATATAGTTCGCACTGGCCCTTCCCTTGCCCTTACGCACACAGCATGCATTCCCCATCTGCATTTAGAACGCACCGGCAATCGGACAATATTATCGACCTCCGGTATGAGCAGGAGGGTGATGTGGCGGCGCTGTCGTCTCGTCACAAGCGAAATACATCGAAGCCTAAATCGCGCTATCTAAGTTCCGAAGTAAAAGCAGTATGTATATAATACTCAGAACTACCACTCGGAGCGTTGGCCGCTCCCCGTTCTTAACACCTTGCCCGGCGGGAGATCTCCCCTTTTCCCTTTACGGCCACACCCTCATTGATCTCAATATCCTAAAATCTGGTGAGTGGTCATGTCAAATAGCTTCTACCTGGCATGACACATGTTGTACAGCTATGTCACGAAAAAAGGGCATTCCTTAAATGGATGACTAATACCATGTCATAAAATATCCAGTCCGACGGGGTATAGCATCAAAGGTGGAAACTTTTTTACTCTAATTTATTGAAAACTTGACAATCGCCCGTCGCTAGTTTCCCGCTGTCGACGAGTCCGCTTCATATAAATATAAATGCATATTATTGTCTTACCACGCTACTCCCACCTCACCGGTGCTACACCTGCCGCTTTTCATAGTAAAATCGAACTATGATGAAAAAGCTATTTTCATACAGAAATCAACTTTTGTAGAACAATGTACTTCACTGCCGCTGCAGCACGTTGGGCACGCATTATACTAATAAAAAAATACTACGCGTCAGCAACGCGCTACAGCGGTATTTGCTCTCGGTTGTTACCGGCGCAAGTGTCATCGCCGGTTATGTTGACAGTCTCAAAAAGCGCTCTAAATAGTTCACTGTTGAACATGGGCCTATCCTAAGTAGCGTTTTTGACAAAATACTTGAGAAAATTGTATGGTGAGAAAATTTATATTATAGGCCAATTTTTTGCCTACCGTAAAACATGGCATTTTTGCCATTTTTTAAAGGACCAAAATCTATGATCAATTTTCTAACAAAAAGTTACTCTCAGACTGGACGTCAATGTTAAACGTGACATTATATTTTTAAAGACTTGGTATTTATGAGTAATTTAAAAAAAACTAAGATGAAAATACAAAAATAAAATATAAAAATACAAATACTAAAAAGTTAATCTTATTTTGTGGTAACTCAGCCATCAGGATTTATAATGAACATAATAGGAATTCACTTCAAGAGTGAAGGTAAGTTTACCACATAATAAAACACAACACTCAGAGTTACGATTTTCTCCTTGAATATAGATTGCCGTTTTCTTTTCCTTCACTTTGATAAAGATGAATCGATTGACAATTCATTTGGTAAAATCGGTGTAAGGCTGTGACGGTGAAACATCTATACAAACATACATATGTACATAGAATGTCAAGTACAGAACCCTTTCTTTGAATCGCCGTAATCGGTTAAAAATATAGATTGATGTTAGTGACAACCCTGGCAAAGTAACCGTCACATCGTCGCATCACTAGCATGTTAACTTTGCCAAGTCAGTTTTATAGATAAATGTTAAGACTACCATGTTAAAAACGAAATATTACATATTCTAACCATAAATATTACGTTACTACAAATATATAGATACCTACATTCAGTATTTCAAACAAAATCAACAAAAGTTCTGAAGCACTGAACAAAGAGGATACGTCGCCGGCACAATTCCGCGCTATAATAAAATGCCAGAATTAACTCTCATTTTCCCATATCCTAAAGAATGCAAAACAAAATTTTTATCCAAAAAATGTTCTATCTCGAAAAAGTTACGATATCCGTGTTAATGGTAATTACACCTTTAATGGCAAAGCTAACTCCCATTGGTAAAGTTGCCATACTTGACTGTATGGGAAGGCATGAGGCGCGATTCTGGATTATACTTTGCCAGCCAGCTATTTATTGAAGACAAAGACAAGTGTATGCAAGATTATATGGACATAAATACAGGATTATTTTTCAAAGAATATTCAAATTTTAAACTTAAGATCAAATGTATAAATAATTATTTAATTATTTATTGCAATTTTTGAAAATATGAGTAAACAAGGCTTTTATTTTTACTTGAAATTATGCAAATTGAATGTGATTTATGGGCAACAACGTTTTTGTCTACCGATCGACCCTTACGAATGTGTGCGTGCGCTGTAAAATCAGTTAAAATAATGCATTACCATGCATTTTGAATACAAAAGATAAAAAGGACAGAATGTTTCGAGATTTTTTAATTTTTTTTCTTTCACCATTTGCCAGTATTACTTATACTGAACATTCTCTGCAAATTTGGCCGGTTATTGCAAAATAACCCTGTTGGTGGATTTTTTTTATAGGATAGGGTGACAAACGAGTACACAGTCCACCTGATGGTAAGTGGTTGCCGCGACCCATAGACATCTACATCTATCTTCGAATACGAATCAAAATGCAGATGCGTTGTCACCCGTGAGGACTAAGATGGAATGCCTCTTATCCAGTAAAGAGGGTCTCCGGTTCTCTACACTCACCATACGAAACACAGCAGTGTTAAGCTGCTATTTTACACTGGTATTCTATGAGAGCGTGGTCCTTCCTCGGTCGGGCCGACCACCACGTTAAAATTTTAACGTGGTAGTTTAACGTGGTAGAGCCATGCTGGTGGTAGGTTCCATATTTGGTGGATAAAATTATTTAGCCCGGCCTGGAGGAGGCGGAGCGAGAAATATACTATAATGCGGGTTAAAGTGGTGTGTTGGTTTTAATGACCAACTGCTGGTACGAAGTTATTAAAGAGATGATTTTACGCAGTTTATGGACTGTATGGCGGTGAGAATATATTATTTCGCGATACTGCAAATGTCCCCAAATTCGGGTTACAGGACGGACGTGAAGGAAAGCATGTGCTGAGTGCACCTGAACTTCCGCTGAGCTTCTCTTATGTCTCGACGAGCTGCGCTGCATGTTGGTTGAATGACGGACGTCTTCACAAATATAACTTTCACAGATTTCCGCGAAATATTGCGTTATTGCAAATACATATATCTATACACTTGCTGTTTTCTTGTATAGTTCTAACATCTAAATTACACCACAGCGCGAGGCGATGACGAGAGATATGGCGGTGCGGTCAGTTGCGTGACTTGCGAACTTGTGAACCCCGTTTTAACATACGAGTGCACATACTGAGCGTAAAAGGTAGTAGATAGGAAAACCCGGGAGTGGCGTTGCAGTATTGGAGAATAATTTAAAAAGGACAGTGTTGTTTAAAACTTTATTGTATTTTGCATAAGTGACGTTATCGACAACAATACACTGAGATACTCCGTGATTACAATTAAGTACAGATTCACAGCTTCTCACAATATTATTTATTTTTCTAATTATAACTGATATCAATTGAGTTCAGGGACAATTCCATAGACTTAAATGACTGCAAAAATATTCTGTATGCCAAAATAGTGTTTTTTTTTTAGTTATCAGAGTATCATTATATTAGATAGTTTCAATTTCAGATTGGCTAGGTATGTACTAATAACAAATTTTTGTATCGATTCAGTATTACATTCTTTCTTCTAAATTAACAAATGCTCACTACGGGCAGTGTGTTTAGTTTGTGACAATAATAGGCCTCTTGCTTATCCTTTCAAAAAAGCTTTTAAGACGCCGGATAGTGTGCTACAAATAACAAAAAACATGACAATAAATATATAATAACTACCGAGTACTAGGTATAAAGTTACAACTATTACCTAAATTCAAAACATATACTGCCAGTTGATAAAATAATGATTAATTAAAAAATTGACAACAGTACGGTTTCCATCATTGGCCGGTATTTAAAAGCACTGAAATTTATTGAAACATCATCTTTCCAGTAATCCAATGCTATGCACAAAATAGGTATTAGATTCAGCTTGAATTCGCGATTGTCTTGCGCACAATAGCAATTGTTAATTGTATTTATTTGTTTATTCATGAATATACGCTATATCCCACTGCAGCCTAAAGCGGCTTTCAGACTACGCTATAACATAATAGTATATAGCTCATAGCACATAAATATCGCGCACCATACATTGTTATGGAGACGTTCACACTGTACTGTACTATATATTATTAGCTACGCTATAAAATGCCACTGAGGTAACACAAAACATTAATAACAGTATATCCAAATGGCAATCACCATCAGTGTACGCAGAAAGGAAACGAAAAAATTCTGATCCTATTGTTCAGTTCCTACACGATGAAAGCCAAAGCAGAGAGAATAGAT